TATGCCGAAGACAGCCCAAGTCATTGCAGAAACGGCAGGATGGTTGCATGCCAGAACCGCAATACTGGCCAAGGGGTGGACGGGGTGTATATGGCAGACGGGGGTGGACGGATGCGCACCAGAACCGCGATGCTTGAAATATCATGGTTGCCACGAAGCCTGGAGGGAGCTGATGCTTCGTTTTGGCCTGCTAATGTGTGTTTGTTTATTTTTCCTGGGTTGCGTGTTTTTTTTGCTTTTGGGTCCGCGGGCTCGCCTTGTTTTTTTTTTAATGTATATATATATACACATATGTGCGTGTGTGTGTGCACATATGTATATATATATATATTGTTTCTGTTTAAAGGAGAAGTCTTCAGAAGCACCAAAACTAAGAGGCAAAATGACGTACAAACACGGGAAACGATGGAAAACTTCTTGCCTGGACTCTGTCTTTCGATTCCCTGAGGTCCCCAGCAAAATGTGCCTTTATGAGTGGTTCCCGCTCCTGAAGCTGTTCCACGGACTGGCATCGATGCCTAGTAATACATGCAAGTCAGCATTCTAGGGTCACGGCAGGCATCGTCATGGCAGGGTGTTGCAAATCTTAAGTTGTCAAGAATTTCTATTGATTGGAGGATTGCCGCAAGCTTTTCTGGTGGGGCTCAGAGCTGTCATGCAACCAATCAAAACGGACTATCGATGAACTCAAGAATGCTAAAAGAACCTGTGTTTGTTGCAAACCTGGTGATGTATCGAATGGTAAGCATGTGGGGTTGAGTTTGTATCTCTACACTTGGTACAAAAGCCGCAGGCGCTGGGGAATGTGTTTTCATGCATCAAAGCAGCGACATTGAGGCTGAAGCGCAGGCTAATTGAGGCAAGCAAACTCCTGGACATATTTACAGTATATAGTGGGCAGGAGGTTCTTCAAGAAAGCACTAATCACTTAAAAGATCTTAAAAGTATGAATCGGAGTCGCTGCGTCCGCCGCACCGGTCCCACTACACCATCCACACCAACACCCCGCAGTTTTTGGAGCTCCGGGTGCTGTGATGCCTCTGCCGCCGCCGCGAGTTGCACTTCAGACCTTCGGGGGGTTCGTCGTGGTTCGCCGATGCTTGGCACAAACAAGTTCCAAAGCGCACGGGCAAAAATGGTGAGGCATCTGGTGGCAGTTGGGCAGAAAAATGCGGACGTTCGGAGCAGCGTTCTTGTTACTTCCAGGTAGCGTTGGGATTGGGCCAAGGTTCAAAAGCGCAAATCATTTGGATCTCAGCAATATTTTGTTTACACTGATTATTGACTTCCCTGACAAGGAACCAAATTCCATCCCATCACTTCACATCCCCTCTGTCTCATACCTTCTTGGAAGGTACCTCTTCTCATGACTTCCCCACCTCTCACTGAGGCGAACAACTCTGGCGCGTGTCTCCGAGGCGGAGCATCTCGTTGGCTTGCTTCAACTGCACTTCTATGTTTTGAACCTGTGGGCGGGATAAACCACTTCCATCATCACCAAACACATCCAATAACACAACAAAAACGGAGCCGCTCAGCTGGTGGGCATTGCACTGCAAACATAAAAGTGCAAAACCTCAGGCTTTTCAAACCCACAACTTGAAACAACTACCAACATGTGATCTGTTCTCTCCACGATTTGGATCTTTGTAGGCTGCTCTTTCAAGTCTCTTTCTTTATTTCTTTATGTGTTTTCCGAGTCTCTTTTCTTTTCTGTCCTTTCTTGTCTGTTCTTTTCTTCTCTTTTCTTTCTTCTGGTTCTTCCTTTTTTTTGCGCCTCCTTGGTGAGGCGGGCGATCTCATCCCGCTGGCGGCTCACCTCTCCACTCTGTCGCCGCTCGGCGTCCCGGAGCTCCGACTTCAAGGCCGTCAGCCTCACGCGCAACGTGTTGGGAAAAGAAGAGAGAAATCAAAATGCTTTATTTTGTTGTTCCAAACACGTTGCCAATCTGTTTCCGTTGTATTTTTGTTCTTGTTACTGTTCTTCCTTTTGCCCTCTCTTCCTACCAAAGCGCAAACACGGATGCTGCAAGTGCAACTGGTGGTGGAGCTCTCTCGCTTGTCATGCAGAGTGGTGTCAGGATCTGGTGCTTCTGGTCTATGTTCGATTCGTTAGAATGGCCCAGAATGAGAAGAATGCATTGAATGGAGCCACTGCATAAGTCTCCAAGTTTTGTTGTTTCAAGCCGCAAGATCCTATCCCTTGTCCTCCAGCAAAAATGGCACGTCTGTTCAGACAGCAGTCTTACTGCGGCGGTGGAATGAAGAGCTAAAAAGGAAGAAAATACACCAGGGAACTCCAAATCTTGGTTCATGTAGAAGTAGTCGCTGTAGTCTGATCGGTAGCCTTGACTGCAGAGCGCGTATTGACTGGAATTCTTGAAAACACCAAGGCAAGGCTCTTATTTTTGACAAGCAGCTCACCCACAAATATCGGTGGCGGTTGTCCAAATCACTTAGGTCGATCCTCAGCGAATTCGAAGGGAAAGCTGCATAAAGAGAATACTAGTAACCAGAAGCTACTAGTAACAAAGGGCATCGCTACTAGGAGCAAGGACGCTACCAGTAGCTCCTGGCCTTACTACTAGTAACAAGCAGCTACTAGTTACAAAGGGCATCGCTACTAGGCAGGAGGGCCAAGTTCCCACTCTCTCTCTCTCTCTTCCTCTTTCGCATTCTGTGTCCAGGCATCAGCAAGGACGCCTGCAAAATCAGCAAGCCCACAGAAAGGAAGAAGCCCGCAACCGATCCGCTGGAGAAAGCAGCTTCTCTTTGGACTGGCAGCCAGAAGACCACCTCAAAGTGCCAAGCAAAGAAACCAGGGAGTGAGCGACACACAAGTTCAATGCAAACTCCAGTGGATACTCGGGTACTTGATGGATCTCCTCGAAAAGCAATACTAAAACAGCTGGGCAGCAACCAGGGTTAGAATGAAAAAAGGAAGCCCGGCGAGTCCTTGGCAGCGGCGAGTCGTAAAGGTTTCATGATGCTTCATGCCGGTATGGCTTGGTGAAGGTTGAGAAGAAAGCTCACCTGAAACACTTAGACCGAGGCCACAAGCCCATCTCGCTTTTGAGGGAGAAAATCCAGCTCTGCCCATGAATGCTAAAAGTGAGCTAGGCAATGTCGGTCTCAGCATCAGAATCACTGATGTCCTTGGTTTGAAGCCGCGGCTGGGGCCAAACGTCAAAAGGACAAGACACATATCTTGTGAGCTGTGCAATGCCAAAGCTGTCACAGTCCTGGCACGACATTGCTGAAAGGCAAGCCTTGCCAGTGGCTCCTGCAGGAATGTCTGGGTTGGCTTGTTTACTTTTCTTGGCAATGTGTGCCAGGGTGCTCTGCAATCGGCAAACTTGTCGGTACTGGCTGTGCCTGCATCTCGTAGAACTTTGTGTACATGCCAATTGTCAAATTCCTCAGGTTGCGCAAGGACCACGCTACCAGAAAGTAAAGAATATGAAGCAAAATCACCTCAAGCACTCTAGACGAAGGGAAGGGAAGGGAAGGGAAGGGAAGGGAAGGGAAGGG